AAAGTAGTAATCTCTTAAAATGGGATTGTGAAATAGAGGCTGCTCTGAGAATCAGAAGAAGGAAAATATTCCTTCTTCTGGAATTTTTAACATTCTTAAGGAAGAGAAAAGATAAAGAACCAGCCATTTTAGAGAAACAAGTGGCTCTAAATGATCATAGCACTTGGGGGCCCCTCTCTGGCACTGGGGTCATTGCCAGAGGCAGCATCAGGGCCTAGGGAGAGGCATGAATTGACTCATTTTTTGGTTAAGTGATTGTGTAGGCAAAAGGAAAATCCAGAAAAATCACTTTATCAAATAACTAATGGATTTTGGTATTCGATCTGGGAATCTCTACTCAGAGGCAAACCAGTTGGATGTAAATCCACATTTTTGTATATTTAGAAAACAAATGGGCAAAAGTCAGATAAACCAAGGAGTCTAATCTCTTCAATCATCAAAAGCAGAAATGTAGTTTTGTTTTTTATATTGTTATGAATAAGGTGTTATTTTCAAATTGCTATTTCATGTGAAACCAGAACAGCAGTTTACACAGTTCCCTCAGAAACCGAGGGTAATAGAATGGTTTCAGTCTCATGTTCTGTCTGTGTACACAAGCACACTCAAGGGTGAGAATGCACACACGCACAATGGCAAGTTGACAGTGGTTACATACATTTAGATAAATGCCTAGAAAATGTCTTGGAAGAAAACATCCCAAACAGATAGCGGCAGTTCACTGCGGGCAAAGCAGAGGAGGGAACTGGAATTAGGGCTGATGGTCAAAAGGCACTTTAGTTTTACCTGGAATTTTAGCTTTTTATGGTATAAGTTTATTACTTGTAGATTTAAAAAATTATGGAAAAATCCAACCCAAGATTTCCCCAATTACTTTTTGGGAAGTCAAAGATGGTTATCATCCAGTAGAGGGAGAGGTGAACAGGATACAGGTAATGGAGAAATCAGTGTTTGGTGCCTGCCAGATGCCCAAATGCAAAGAATGCTCCCAATAAGTCAGAATCTTCTAAATTCACCCCATCGGTTCTCTCTTAAAAATAATTCAGTTTTTCTTCCCTTTGCTCGTCTACGTGCCCATGTTTCTTCAAAAAGCTGTTCTGTGAGCTAGAAAAATGGTTTCATCTCTGCAAATGTCATTTACCTCCTAATAATAAACATGAAAAATGGTAGCTATTACTACTGAGGCCGGCCTGGTGCTGTAGCAGTTAAGTTTGTGCCTTCCGTTCTGTGGCCTAGGGTTCATGGGTTCGGATATTAGGCACAGACTTATGTACCGCTTATCAAGCCATGCTGTGGCAGGCGTCCCACATATAAAATAGAGGAAGATGGGCACAGCTCTTAGCTCAGGGCCACTATTCCTAAGCAAAAAGAGGAGGTTTGGTGGCGGATGTTAGCTCAGGGCTAATCTTCCTCAAAAAAAAAAAAAAAAAAAGGAAAGGTAGCTATTACTATTATTATTAATCAAGTGGTAATACTTGAAGCTATAATTCACAGGATTGATGAATGTGCAGAGAATGAGGAACAGGATAGATGGGAGAGCGAAATCCTGCAGAGATCATGAGGGATGCTAAAAGAGCTCACATCAGCAGCTCTTAACCTAGGGAGGGCATGAGGTGAGGGCTGGGCTCAGGGCTTCTGGAGGGTGAGAGAAGTTTAGAAAGAAGACTTGACAGATGGTCAGTGGGAGATGAATAAGAAGACTGCTGAGCAGCACGAGGGCCTCAGCTGAGGTTATAGGGGGAGAATTTGCAAGGAAACAAATTGGCCTTTGTTAACATTCCCCAGTGAGTCTGGGAAGCCCTGGAGCATGAGAGAAAGTAGGCTGAACTTCCACCTAAAGCTGGAAATGGATGAACACCCAGAAGAACAAGAACAACGAAATCAACATTCACACATTGCTGAAATAGCTGGTCATGGGTTTCTGGAAATGTAAGAGTGCTAGGCTCTGGATTTGGCTGATGGACTGGGAGAATAGAAGAGATGGAAGACAAAGATATCCTGTTATGAGAGAGACAAAAGGAGAATTGTAAATAGCAAGAGAGCAGGAGAGGAAGGTGGATGATGTTCCCTTTACCATGCCTACTAGATTGTAATTTCTCTTAGGGAAGCAGCTGATTCTCATTCATTTTTTATTTATCACAGCACTTGCTCAATAAATGTTTTATCATCAGGAGTGAACCAATTAATGGGAATAGTTATCTCACTAGATTATCTCCCCACCAAGCTGTGAGTTTCTTGAGGGCAGGCCCTGTGTCCTGTGGATTGATGCACCAAAAATGTGCAGAAAAGCTCAGAGGGGTTTGCAGGTACACAATAGTTATTGAATGAACAAATGAACTTGATCTTTTTGAGCTCTAATTTCTTCATCTAAAAATGAAACCACAAGACTGACTGGCATTCTTCAGCAGGGATGAGGCATACATTATAACACTGGACAACTTTGCTCTTAAAACTTGCCAAACCTACTCTTGAGAATATTCATTTAAATTCCTTAGTGGGCAGCTGATGCCCTATGGCTAATACTGTCTTCAATTGTGGAGGGAAATGAGTCAAGCAAATGGAATCATAAATACACACACACACACGCACGCACACACACACACACACAACTTGGACATGGATTTTTTTAACCTTTTTATCTTCTCAAATTCTCCTCGCTTTTCCCTCCGCCACCACTCAGCCTCTACTCCACACAACAGTCACTCCTTGGACCAAACATCCATGACAAATTCAAAACAGTGGCCTGGGGTTTGGCTACTGCTTGACAGGTAGTTGGGCACATTCTGCGGTGCTGATGGAGATTCCAGCTCACTGAGACAGCGTGAAGAAGCTAATTAAAGCAGTCATGAAGACTGTTTCAATGAAGGAGAAAATGTAAACACCATCTTCACTGGATAGAGTGATTAGAAATTACCGTTGTTTGTTTTCTGTCACAACCATCTGTGGTTTGTCAAAATTTTGACATGTGGCATAACCTGCCACTAATCAAAAAGAAGAAAACAAACCCAAAAAAAAGGAAGAAAATCTAAAACTGTAAGTAGGAAAGCAGACATAGAAAACCTTCATCTTTCCAAGTGGGAAAAATATTTAACTTGTTTTTCCAAAACCAGTCTCATCTGTTTTTGGACAAAGTCTGAGCTCCTAGTTTGCCTTGACAGGTATGCCCTCTCCATTTGGAAGAACTCAACAGTGGGAGGTCCGGCTGTTCAAAGTGGGAAAAGAAGCCACGAGGATAGAGATGAAAGAACAGAGTTAAGGATAATCAAGTTGCCAGACTCAAGTACTTTATTTAAAAGAAGCCCAAGCTTAATTTTTTGACTCTTTCTAGAGTATCTTTGACTTATGGAGACAGCTCAGTGGCATTAATCTTTGAGTTATCCTATATAACTGTAAATTATTTTTTCTGAAATTTACACATTTAGATTGATACTGCTTAAATATCTAATGAAGAAAAAAATACCTGAGATGGTATAATGTGAAATGCATAGAGGGACATTTTGAAAAATTGTGTACTATGTGGACCTCTCCTCTACCTCTGTTCAGTTATGATGAATACTCTGAACTACAAAATAAAAACTTGAAAATAGGATAATTCTACTTCAAATCTGCAACAGGTATTGATATATAGCATGTATTCAAGAATGCTTTTTTTAAGGAGAGGGGAGAGAAAGAAAAAAATAGAGTGCCATGATGATACTTTTACCACGAATTTTGCTAATTCCACTTATGGATGTGACTATGTATGATTTATATAGATGCTCTTGTTATTGATGTATTTATAAGCCCTAGTTGCACAACACAACTGCGTGTTTGTTCTTTGTTTAAATGTGGCATATTCTTATGGGCAGAGTATTCCTTAAGTTGATTCAGGCAAGCTCAATATTTAAAAATAAGTGACATGGATCTAAATTTCAGAGAAGTATCACAGGAAATTAAAACAAAACAACAACAACAAAACAGAAGTCACAAGAGTGCAACACACAACATGAGCAGAGCTTGAAGATGAGGCGAGGGCCAAGGACAGTCCTTTCCCGGTCCTGGTGATGGAGCAGAGGCATCAGGCACCACTGGATCATTTGGGGAGCATCAGTTGTTCAGACCATCTCACTCTCTCCTCAACCCTCTATGTCCCCTAGTCACTTCCTAGGCATGAGCACTGTGTGGGAAGTGGGGAAGAGAAGGAAAAAACCAAATGACTGAGCTTATAATAATATAATTTGCCACTAATAATGATAGCAAACACTCACATACTGCTCACTTATTTGTTTGTGCCAGGCACTCTTTGAGTGCTTTCGTATACTAACTCATTTAATTCTCACAACAATCCTATGGTTATTCCCATTTTACAGATGAGGAAGCTGAAGCACAGAAAGATCGAAAGCACTTGAAGGGTAGAGCCATAATTCACGCCCGGGTGGGTGGCCTCAGAGCTTCTCCACTTGTCTGCTACTCAAAAGCACGGCTGGAAGAAGACAAAGGCTTTGGGGCTAAGAGACTTTCCAGTTCCCTCCCACATACTCGAATCTAGCTTCCACACCACATTGTAAATAGGAATCTCTGCGTGGGTACTTAGCCCCCAGCAGGATGCCTGTCACAATGTACAGGCTTAACAAATACTTGTCAAGTGAAAGGATGTTTCATGTCAATTTATAGTGAAACTGTTTGGAACAAATTGACTCCATAATACCACAAAATCCTAATTTAATTGGCCTAAAATAGCCTAAATTTTTGCCCTCAATGCAGCCTAGAAGGGAGCTTATGCCACTTTGGAAATATATTGCACAGAATTTCATTGCAATAATAATGTAAAGATCACCTATCTTTCTCAAAATAGCAAGTGGTGCAGATAATAACTAGATTTCTTACCTGCTCCTAAACTATAAATCGTCCACAGTGTATTGGAAGGTCTGACAGAACACAGAGAGGAAATGAACTGAGACAACATCACTTCAGAGCAACCGGAAGGAAAAACACACACATACCTACGCCTCTTGCATTCTACGTGTGCGGTTGCTCAGTGGGGAAACGCTTACAGCTGCCTTTAGAAACAAGTCTGGTGGCTGCAGCGAGAGAGAAGCCTCATCATGAGGCAGGACTGAGCTGCTACCTCCTGCCTGCCCGCCCAGAGAGAGGGCAAGAACTCCAGGAAGACCAGATGATTCACCAACAGTGGTTCTGCCCCGGGTGAGTTCTCAGACACTTGCTGAGTGTGGCCTGAGGGGAGAAGGCGGGGAGACTCACTCAGACTCTGAACTTCCTGAGTTGATGTCAGACATCTGGTGGTGTTCCCCACCGTTAACACCTCTTAACTGAAACTGGGAAGGGACTCAACATGCCCCAAAGGAGGAAAGAGTGGTTCCAGGCCACCTTCAAGTTGATCTGGAGGCACTGGCTTTGAGGCAACTTAAAACCCACCGGATCCTATTTTTTAAATCATCCAGGGTGGGTGCTTCCTGGTATGTAGAGTACACAGCTCCTCCCCCATTCCAGCTGTCCTCAGAGCTCACCTGTGCTAACCTGAGCTTTCACTTTTCCTCAATTATTTCAGCACTTCAAAGTATGGGCTGTCACTCACCCTTCATGGTGGATTAGAGTCATCTATAACGTCATTGTCAACCTCTCTGGGAATGACTCCTGAGGGGCAAGAAGTGGTGATTGAGAACTGGACTTAGTGTGTGTCCCAGTTCTGCAGGGAACTGGTCATTAGCATTATCTCTAAGGGGTTGGGGACAAATGACACTATGTTCTACCTGTCCACACCGGGCCACCCCAACAGCTCCATCCTTATGTTTCTCTATATTTATTAATTCATTTAACTCGTTCATTCATTCAATTGCCTTTCTTCCACAAAGGATTTGAGGCAACCTTTTTATCTTGCTGAAATTACTTCAAAGTGAAGAATACATACAACATTAAAGGGGGAAAGTCATTCTAAAGGGGTTTTATGTTGTTTAAAGCTGGTTGAGACAGGTGGGTGGTCATTTCCCTGTGCTGGTGATGAGAGGTGAGAGTGGGTGTCCCAGCCTTTTTACCTCCTGCTTGAGGAGCCCCTCCTTTCCCCTAGACACTGGTTTCCCACCCAGAAGTGGGTGTGAAACCTTGACAGAACCCTGGGAACAAGCCAAGCGCTTTTCCTCCTTGTTTCTGTTTCCTCCCAAGTTGGGTTCTTTTCAAGGACATTCCTGTTCTAAGAATGGGGCAAAATGGAGCAGTGGAAGGAAAAGAATATGAAATCAGTTTTGAGTTAGAGCTCCACCATTTCTCATTAATTAGTTCATTTATTTAACAAGTATCTAGTGAGCATTCACCGTGTGACAGCCACTTTTAAGTCAAAACGTACAAGAAATGGAGCAAAATTGACATTGCCCTGCCCCCAAAAGGCTTACGGTTGAGGGGAGAAGCAGCCATTAGTCAATGATGACACAAATGGGATGAGGACCAGAACATACTGATCTCATCTGGGAGTCAGGGAGGTTTCCATAAAGAAGGTGGAGATGAGAACTGAACGAGGCGTGGGAATTCACAAGGCAAAGGGCTGGCTAGTGCTCTGGGCAGAGAGAACAGCCTATACCGTGCCCTGAGGTGGGGGGCCACAGAATTGTCCTGCAAAATTATGGCCAGTATGGCCAGGGGGAAGAGGGGAGTAGCTCAAGATGAGCCTAAAAGACCTGTGTTAAAGATGCTGCTTATTCTAAAAGCGATGGAGAAGCTAGGGGTGTTGTGATCTGATCTGCATTTTGTTTTAACTGAGGTAACATTGGTTTATAACATTTCGGATATACACCATTATATTTCAGTTTCTGTGTAGACTACATCATGTTCACACCCAAAGACTAATTACTACCGTACACATGTGCTCTATTACCCCTTTGGTACTTTTAAGGAATCCCTTTTGATGCAGTGTGGAGAACGGATGGGAGGGGGCCACGCATACAGACAGGGACACTAGTTAGGGGGTTGATGAAGTCAGCCAAGCAAGAATATCTATGGGAGTACAGACAAGACAAGGGTGATAGCAGTGGAGATAGAATTAGACAAATTGAAGAGTCATCTAGAAAGGAACAGGACTTGGTGGCAGACAGGAAAGGAGAGTGAGGGGAATGTCAAAGATGATCCTGTTTCCTGGTTTGGGAATCCCAATGGACATTGATGCTTCATACTGGTCACAGAAACTGGAAAAGCTGGTGGAGACCAGGTCCAGGGTTAGTTCAGTTCTGGAACTAATGATTTTGGAGGGCCTAGCAGACATTCAAAGGCAGATGTCAGCCAGGCAGTTGACATTGACCAACATCTAGATAGAGCTCAGAGCAGAGGTCTGGGGGATCCTTGGCATATGGATGGTAATTGAACCCATGGGTATGGATGATACATACTTGACAGAGAGCATCAAATGAGAAAGGAGGAGGGTGGCTTAGGATTGAACCTCAAGAAATTCTAAAATTTAAACAGAAGTAGAGGAGAATGAGCTCTCCAAGAAGATTAGGATGGCTTCTTGAAAAGTTAAACATAAAATTACCATATGAACCAGCAATTCTACTCCTAATTATATATCCAAAAGACTTGAAAACAGGGACTCAACTAAGTACATATACATGCATTTTCATAGCAGTACTATTCACGATAGCCAAAAAGTGGAAACGGCTTAAATGTCCATCAACAGATGAATGGATGAAAAAATCATGGTATAGCCATACAATGGAATATTATTCACAAAAACGCTACAACATGGATAAGTCTCAACAACTTTGTGCTAAGTGAAAGAAGCCAGGCACAAAAAGTCCACGACTCCGTTTATATGAAATATCCTCAATAGGTAAATCAATAGAGACAGAATACAGACTGGTGGTAACCTGGGGCTGGTGGTAGGGGAAAAGGGGGAGCAACTGCTGAACGGGTATGAGGTTTCCTTTTGGGGTGATAAAAATGTTTTGAAACTAGACAGAAGTGGTCATTGCACAGCATTGTGAATACACTGAATTGTTCCTTGAAACATCTAATTTATGCTTTGCCAATTTCAACTCAATATTAAAAGAAGAAAAAAAGGCGAAGAAAAGAAAGACCAGGAAGGTGTAACCAGAGGTGATGGAGCACACAGACTGTCTAACTTTGTCAAATGAAGTAATGCCTGGTGCCTCTTTCTCTACATGTAAATAAGGGGAAATAGCTACCTTGTGGTAAGGATTAGATGTGATAACAAAGTTTTGAAGTATCTAGCAGAGAAGTAGTGTGGTAGAAGCAGTCAGTGACCTACCTACATCCTCAGGTCTCATCAGGACTGGGCTGACTTCTAACAGCCTGAGTCTTTATCTCATGACCTGACAGGTTTCTCCAGACCCAGGTAGGACCACTGTAACTGCCCAAAGGCAGGTGAGAATGCCCAGGAACTAACTCTCCAATGGCCTATAAATATCCCAGGTCCCTCATGCCTGTTGGAAAAACTCTAAGACATGTGTTTCACCTTTTCCCAAAGTTTCCACGTGGAAAACTTAAAGGGACCATAAAGTTCCCCCGTGGGCTTAAGCTCCAGTTGCCCACAGTGTTAGCTGGCTTGATAATGTGCCCTTGATGGCTTTCCTTCCTTCCCTTTTCCCTCCCCTCACCAAGGTCTCCTGGGATCGTTTCTTAAACTACATGCACTTGAATCCTGTGTCAGAGTCTGCTTCTGGGGGAACTAAGATCACCTGTGACACAGTGCTGTGGATACTCAAGTGGTTTCATCTTCTGTTCTCCAAGGATCAACTCTATTTGACCTTAGATGCCTGTGATCTGACATCCCTCATATCCATTCAAGTGTCATATGAGGGAGGGTCCTCCACATCAATTTCTGAGATGCCACTTAGAGAAGGGACTCAGGTACTGGCCCAGGGAGAATTCCTTTCGACTTAACATGTCCTGTAGGAAACTGTACTACGTGAAGCCACATCCCACTACAAGCCCTCTCCACTCTCCTTCTGTCTCCCTACAGCTGATCTGATCAAAATTCCCAAAGTGTGGGACACTGTGATCCTTTTACGTGGTACATGATACACAGACATGGCATTAAATCACACTGAATCACTAGACTTTGTCACAGAGAGAAAACTTCCATTTTCACACCTTTGATCCTCTGATTTTGGCCTGATCTTAAAATCCTCTAACCACCGGCCATTTACCTTTGAACAAAGAGAAAGTGAACCTCAGACTATGAGCCATCAGCAGGCAATGGTAGCTAGCTAAAATTCAATAGCGTGGCTTTGCTTTTCTGCATCTATTTTTCATGATTACCTTCTGTTAATCACAATGGCATTGGTTTTTTATTTGGAGTACTGGTATAAACTTTCTTTTTAATATAATTGACTTTAAGTGAAAAAAAAGTGAGTTGATTTAAAGAAAAACAGTGTTACTAATTATACTGGCAGCACACCTGAAATGGCAAACTCTGGAAGGTGGGACTTGAATGAGAGAAGATTGGGCAGAGGCCCAGTGGAGCAGAGGCCCTCGAGGGCATGCTGTGTCTCGTTCCACTCTGTGCCTGTCCGGTTCATGCGCAGGGCCAGGATGGCGCGGTCATCCTAGACAGGCAGTGTCCAAGCCACCCGTGTTTACTGCAGACTTTCTTGACCATCCAAATTAACAACTTCACAGTGCCCAGAATGGCTCCCAAACATCCAGGCAGTGATGGTAAAGGCCACTGGAAACTGACACACCGCAAGACCCCATCCTGTGGTAGCTCTGCCCTAAGGAAGGATCCTGGGGCTTCAGAGGGAACTCAACAATGGTGAAATGAGATGATGAGGAGGTGACAATGCATCCACATTCCTTTTCACCTTCGCTTGATGGACGGCTGTAACAATTAACTTTCTATCTAAGTTCTATGAGCAGATGTTCCTCCTCACGCCCCTCCCTCCACTTTCCAAGGAAGGTGACAAATGAGGGTTAATAATCCAGGTAAATTTCACTTTAGAAAATTTTTTAAATATTACGAAACATTTCATACTACAAAGAGGTGTATATAATGGGTATGTACATACATTCTAAATAATAATAGAAGTAATAAACCAAACATGTTTACCTACTGCCTCCCTTCCCAATTCTTGAAGCCTGCTGCACGTGCCTAACCAATTGTATCCATCTCCACCCACGCCCCACACAAAGGGAAGTGCAGTCTGAAATTTGGTGTTAGTCACGTTCCCTTACTTTTCTTT